AACCTGAACACAGTTTTTCCAAATAATGTTCTGATTTACCTTTCCAATCACTTCACTTTACTTATTTATTGCCCAAGAGCATAGAAAAAATGATTTTCCTTTATTAATTTGGATGACATTCCCCTTTATAGAGAGCTAGACAGGAAGATATTTAATTTAAAATGTTTGGCTACTTTTCTCCCATAAACTCTAAGCTCCTTGCAGAAAGGATCTACCTTTCGATCTTCCTCAGGCCATAAAAGTCCACTGGACGTAGTTGCTCAGTTATTTATTTTTATTTAGTAAAACACGGACCAGGCTAAGGTTACCATTTTTGGAGAGAGGGAGGACATCGCTCCAAGCAAAACTAAGGGAGTGAGATGATATACCTAAAGTTTAAATCGGATCAGGAATTACGACCAGGTAAATGAACGTTTCCCCAAGGACAGGATTTAACCGTATCTGCCTTTTTCACTGTACAATTTCTATTTCACAAAATAAATGAGAAAGTGTAAGAATGAATAATTTGAGTTAAAAATATTTTTTTCTTGTTAATAGATGTTGGTTTCTTAGTTGGCTGTAATCCCACACACCCAGTGTTTAAAAGCTACATTCTTAATAGACAGCAAGTCTTACTGTCATTAGTGTTTAAGTGAAAAGGGCTGAATTTTGTGTTTATTCCTCACAGCCAACCGCACCCGTGATATGTGAATTTCTGACGATGATGGCTATCTGTCACACAGCGGTGCCAGAGCGGGAGGGGGATAAGATCATTTATCAAGCAGCATCTCCAGGTACAAGCGAAGCATTTGTGAAGTATTTTTCTGTGGAAAATCGTTCCAAAATTTGGAATTGTCTAGGAAAAAATCAACTTAATTTGAAAATAAGATAGCCAAATTGAGTATGTTTTTTTAGATTAAAAAATTTATTTACTGATTAGAAACTCTTGGCTATCAGGATTAAATATAGATGTGTTAAAATGCATAATTTGTATATGTAATTTTTAGTATATGACATAACTTACAGGGAAATTTAACAAAATTCTCGCAAGTGAAAAATACTTTTTTACATACATATAGTAATTTTTTCCTTCTTTATAAATAACCAGGAACAAACTATTAGACTACTTTCGCATCTAAGCAAATAGGAAAAGGAAGATATGTTTGCCTAAAAATTGTGAACGTATATGACATTAAAACACCAGTTTGCTTTCCTCTTTGGAAATGACAATCAGGGCTTGTGTATTTATTTGGGTGAGGAAAGTTTTATACATTTGAAGGGAGTCCATAAAATATTTATCAATATAGTTACCAATATTTAACACTTATGCTTGATTTTAGAACTATTTTCAATGTAAAATTGGATAATTAGGTGATTGCAAAATTCTAGGAAGGAAGGAACACATTTCAGAGAACTTGAAGTGTTTTAAACTCTATTCTAAACCGGCACCTGTGATTTGTAGAAGGCACTAAATTGCTTAAAAATCTAAGCATCGTTACATCTCGTAATTAGAATAGAAACTGAGTGTTTTCTTATGCCACCCCCTACTTTTGGCATTGAAAAGGTTTTATATAACATGAAATTAATTAATACATAGAAAAATAAATCTGTTTAAACTGAATCCTCAATTAGTAGTATTAGTTCTTTATATTTGACTTTTTAGGAGGGAAAGAATAAAACTTAAGGCAATTTTGTGCCATTCATTTTGAGAAAGGTTTTCTGAAGAATACGCTAGACTAAGGGGTACATTTAAATTATCCTTTTTAGGAATTTATGGCTAACAGTGAGACTTAATAGTCAGAAATATGACTCTGTATCCCAGACACGTAAGGTTACCACCCTCGTTCTTTCAGCATCGTCATATAATTTTTGAAAGAATGGATTTCAATAGTGGGCTAGAATTAAGAGAACTCTAATTAAACAGAAAACAATGTTACACTCCTGTATTTCTCTTGTATTTGGGATAATCTTTTTTCCATGATGTATTTGCTTTCACCTCTTTTCCGAGAACAGATGAGGGCGCGCTGGTCAGAGCAGCCAAACAACTGAATTTCGTTTTCACGGGGAGAACACCTGACTCAGTGATTATAGATTCAGTAAGTTATTTATCTTTAAAATGCTTTTTAATCGAAATAATACATTTGCATAGCTTCGAGGGTAAAGTGATACCAAAAAGCTCATGATAAAATAGAGGTTCCCCACTCAAGAAGCAACCGCTTTCTGTGCTTGTAGCTATTTATTAAGGCATTTACCCCATCTCATATTTTCAGAAAATATGCGATAAATGATACGTGTTTCGGTTCTTCAATTTTAGTCTTATTTACTGACTATTCT